AGTTTCCTGATCGAGCTGGGGACGTGATGGGTTTACCGCCAGCTGTTTCCTACGTCCGTTCAGTCGTAAGCACACACGAGCGCGGACCAGTGCGTGATCGGTATCTGCACACGTGTTCCAGAAGGAGCGACAATCTCCTACCGACCCACGCCAACGATAGCTTATTGTTATGTGGTCTATTTGTGTCCAGCGTTGGTTTGATGATGGAGGTCGCCAGGTAAGACAGTGTCTCTCCTTGTGTTTGAAGTTAGTGCTTACAAGAAACAAGTGATTATCTGAACAGAACTGTAGGAGACGGTCACCGTTGTCGGTTCGCTGGCACGGAATTCCGTATGTGCCACCGACATTCTTCTCAGATTGACACAATTTCCCCACTTGAGCATTAAAGTCACCAGCTAAAACGACTATATCTGAGCGTTTAGCCTTTCGCAGCAAACTAGACAGCTTTTGGTAGAACTCATCCTTCGTTTCATCCGAACTGCAGTCAGTGGGGGCGTAGGCGGAGATAACGAAAAGGCATCGGTGAGTAGTGCAGTCCTTTCTCCTTTTTACTGATCCGTTCAGACGGACAGCACACATTCGGCTATCTACCAGGATCCAGTCAAATAATGTCTTTTCTGTCCTAGTACTCAAAGCTATCCCAACACCAGCTAATCCTCGTGAGCTAGCTGTCGCATCTCCTGACACCCTCAGGGTGAATTTTGCAGATTCATCGTGTTGGCCAGGTGGGGTTAGGTGAATAACCACACTTGGGTCTTGTATACGTGTTTCTGAAACACAACATACATCAATGGCTCGGGATGCCAGAGTCTTGGCTAGTAATGCTTGTTGTCCTATTTGGCAGAGTGTCCTAACATTAAATGCTCCTATATGAAATTGGTGGCGTGGTTTTAGGAGACTATCGGTGGTGGTTTTTTGGCTTCCGTCGTTTTCAGTGCACACAGAGTGAAGAGGAAGTGAAGAGCCATCAAGTAGAGGAGTTGCATTAGTAGAAGGAAGGCAAGATAATAGAGATGAAGATGAAGACAAAGATGCGTGGGGATTAGAAAGGTTTCGCGTGCACTTCGGATTGTGAGGGCGATTGTTACTTCCCAGCTGCCCACACCGTGGAAGTTGGTTGCGTGACCGCAGGGCCCAGGGGACAACTGCTTGAGGCCGGTCACACGCGGCCTGTTTTTGTTTGTTCTTTATTGTTTGGTGTGTCTCAGTAGCATATTTATCACTTCCGCCCTGTGACACAGCAGCAGGAAGCGCGGTCGTTGTTAATCCAGGTCCCGACCGATCCGGCATGATATTTTGTGAGTTTGTTTGAATCATAGTATTGGATTGGATAGCTGCTTTTTGTCTAACCGCTATCCAAACAACCTTTCTGGCATGGTAGGACCTACAGGAACATAAGTTCCAGCCAGTGTAGCTCGTTGGGTCATTGCGATTGCAAGCCCGACCACCACGCCAAGGTAGCAGCTATCGGTCGGGCCTCATATCATACTACCGCCAAATGGCTCGCAGAAATCCTCCTACCTATCAGAAATAACCTCTGCAAGCATAGTGTTTCTGATTCGTTTGAATTCGTCGATTCAATAAGTGATGCTAATGTATCCGAGAAGAAAATGATATCCATGGATGTTGCTTCGCTTTCCACCAACGTTCCCCTCACTGAAACTATATGCTTTATATGCAAATTCATTGAGGATAATAATGTAGACGTATGTGTTCCGATCCACTACTTAAAGGAACTACTATTGAGGTGCACTCTAAATGTCCAGTTCAAGTTCAACAACACGATTTATAGACAAAGAGATGGAGTGGCAATGGGGTCACCATTGGGTCCTTTACTTGCAGACTGCTTCTTGGCTAGTTTGGAGAATAGTATTTTACGGCCTACTATCGACAGTTTCCATCTGTACCAAGGATACATGGATGATACTTTTATCATATGTGACGACAATACCGACATTGAATTGATAACTAAAGAATTCAACAGCTGCCATCATGCCATCCAGTTCACGTCAGAATCAGAGAATAACTCGGAATTCCATTTTTTGGATGTTTTCCTAAAGAGGAGATCTCATGGTTCTCTTCAAAGATCGATCTACAGGAAACCAACATGGAATGGTCAGTACACAAATTTCCATAGCTGGGTCCCTTTGAGAAGAAAGAGAAATCTGATCCATTCCTTAACCTCAAGAATAAGGAGGATATGTTCAAGTGATACAATCGATGGGGAACTGGGGCGACTCAGACAAGTCCTCATAGAGAATGGATATCCTCCAAGATTTATCGAGAAAAACATGAAGTTAAAGCAAAAGCCTGGAAGAATCCAGACGGTGCCAAAGAAACTGTTATTTATGAGTGCTGAATTTAAAGGTGATACCGCAGCTGAGATCCTAAAGAATCGCTTATGCAGATCACTGAGGAAAGCCTTCTTTATGGCTGAGCTACGTATCAATTTCTACAACCGACAAATGATCAACGGATATGTGAAGGATAAACTGCCGCTTTGGACTGGCCACCTCAATGTGTGTTTACAAATTCACCTGTTCGTGTGGAGCTGGTTATGTTAGCCACACAAGGTGCACGCTTTCCAAACGCATCTCCGAACATTATCCGGCATGGTTAGCAAAGGGACAGTGTAAGACAATTACTAGCTCAATTCTCGGGCATTTGGTGAACTCAGGCCACGTAGCTCCACCGGAGTCGTTTTTCAAGATCATCTACAAAGTGAAGCCAAATGGTACAAAGGGTGTCAGGCTTTGGCTTTTGTGTATGGCGGAGGCGCTGGCAATTCATCAATACAACCCTGAACTCTGTATACAGAAAAAGTTTGTCCAGTCTCTTATTCTACCTTGGTCTTAACCTTCTCACTAATCGTTCCCTGATAAAAAATTTTGATTTTTTCTTTCCTTTTTTGTAATTTTTAATCTTACTTTTAGTTTGCTTTTGCTTTAATAATAAATTCACTATTATCACTCTCATATGCTCCTTTTGTATATTTTCACACCCTCTTCACACTTGTTAAATTGACACTCAACTGCCTTTATTATCACTCAATAGCAATTTTAACCTTATCAAATTTCTATCTTTGTTCCGTTGAGTACCAGGTAATTTACAACTTTTAATTTTCACTTCTAAAGCCACTTCTGAGTAATCATATCAATTATGTCACCCCTACCCTTATTGCTCAATAATAGACCAGTATATATTTTTGTAAGTATAAATACGAGTGTACAGCCCCTGAAGATGATTTCGTCGATAAAGAAAATTTTCTTCGCTGAATCTGTCTTTTATTGACTAGTGTTCAATGAAAGATATACAATACAGTCCTACCGGAGGTCAATCATGAGCCGGGATAGCTCAGTGGTGACGTCTCTGACTGACACGACTGCAGCACTGAGTGACGCGGGTTCGAATCTCAGAAGGGACATCAGTTCCTTCAAGATTGGAGATACGCCTTGCTGACTGTACTGGTGAGTGCCAGTTAGCCTCAAACCTAGGTCAGCTGGCTGGGTTCCTGCCAATTGCCTCCAAGCATCTAATACCAATAATTCACAGTGCACGGTAATGGTGAGCCACCTAGCATGGTGACGACATTGCAAACATGACGGATAGAATTCAGTCTACACCGAAGCTAGGACTAGACACATTACCCTAGTTACTGACTAGTGTGCAATCAAAATATTATTATCTTTCTTGAATCATTTATTGTCATTTTACCTGCTGTGTTCATTTATTATTAAAGTTAAGTTGTTTTATTTATTGATTTATTTTCAGGTGTTTATTTCTACGGATTACCGACAGATATATGTTAGAGAATCATTGAAAACCAGCACTGTATTACTGGGCAGCTGTTTTGTCCCAGTTTGGAACTCATCCGCAGTACGCACCCACCACAGGGGTTTCAAACCCAAAACCTTCACGTCATAAGACAAGGTGGTAGACTGTTCAGCCACTGGGATCCGACTTAGTGGACCACAAATTCTAAATTATACCAATTCGTGATTTTACCGCTACCGAAAAGTCGTGGGTTCGAATTCCGGTAGGTCAGTCTTACTTTCTGCTTTCAACGTAGAACTTTTTACCGATGTGCAGCAGTTCAAGTCGCCAGAGAAGAAAGTAAAAAGAAAAACAAAATAGAGACAGTAAACAGAGATATAAGGCAAAAAGAATAGTAATATCGAAGTACAATACAGTTTTATTGGATATTATAAGTAACAATGAGTGGATACATCTGCGCCATCACTGTGAACGAGGATTTTAAGCCATATCACCAATTGTCTCAGGTCACTGGTTTTTACCGTCCCGAGGACCCCAACCAGGAAGCCAGGCTACACCTTTCTAAGTGATTAGATGGTTTAAACTAACTGTTATGGATTTGACTGACTGATGAAGATCTTTTCCAACCTGATCAGTCCTATATCAGTCAGCTAACATTGCCTGTTGTCAAGGAAGGCAGGCGATGGCTAGGCATGCGTGTGTAACACATATCCTAACCATTTCAATCGATGTAATTTCACGGTCACAGCCACGGTGGTTAAGTACTGCTGATGAGTGCCAAACTGGGGAGAAACAGCTATCCAGTATTCCCAGCTGATTTTCAGCGGTACTCTAAATCGTATCAGTCAGTGATCAAACCTGAAAAAAAGAACTCTTGGAAATTTATCTGACGCAGCCTAGCGACTGACTCTATACAGGAATTTATCTGATGTTCTAATGAGACGTCGTGACTAGCAGGGTCCATAAACTCCAATCGAATCCTCGCAAATCAACGCTTAAAATATAAGAAATAATTATTTTTGATTGAACACTAGTCAGTAACTAGTGTAATGTGTCTAGTCCTATCTTCGGTGAAGACTGAATTCTATCAGTCATGTTTGCAATGTGGCCTCCTGCCGACTGCCTCCAACCATCTAGTACCAAGAAATAATTAACAAAAAAACTTAACTATTCAAGGAAAACAGTAATAATAATGATACTAAGCAAAGGCGAATTCATGTACTTACCGTTTTAATTGCTTTCTCTCCTTTAGGCTTATGATAAGATTGTCGATAATATTTGTAGAATAATAAGAATAGACTGCCTTCATAGAATAGATTTAAGCCATAAACGGGCTTTTGTAAACTGCATTGAATACACAGTGATACACATGAATACAGCATACCATAGGTGAATTGGATCTGTTTAAAAGTGATAAAAGAATAGGGGTGGGGGTGAGGGGTGAAAAAGGTTTTATTTAGTACTAAAGGCAAAACATAACAGTGGATACATTTTCATTTATCAAATCACTGTTATTCCTTAAGGTTTAAACAGCACATCCGCATTTCGTTCTGTCCTCTGGAGTCCTTTTTAATCTGCATATCACACGACATTCTCCACCTCATCCTCGAACCCACGCCCAAACCGTCGTTTTTCATTCGGGTTCCACTAGAGGGCTTCCTTGCGACACTGGCACGGCGGTAGAATGCTCGCCAATCACTCATCATGTGGTCCGGGGTTCGATTCCCGGCCACCGACGCAGTCCTTTAACTCGCTAAACCAGTAATAAGACTGGTAAAGAGGGAAGGCTGGACACTGGGCTAGCAACCTCATCCCGTAAAAATAAACACCACCGCTACCGAAACTTCAAGCCTCTAGCTTGAAGCCCTATGTTCCACTGGGAAAATAAACGAATAAAAAAAATAGAGGACTTCCTTGGCACGTGGTTTTACTTAGTGATCACTTATCAAATATATAATAGATATCTACGGAAGCAAGATGTAACTGGGTGGATAAGATGTCATGGAATTCAGAAAAAAACTTGAATGTAGTCGATATTTAGCGGTATGGTGAGATGGTGTTGAATTGTTAGGTTCCCATTAGACCATTCTTCAGTCCAAAGATCCAGATACTCAGGTGTATGGACAGTCTTACTCAGCTAATCAAAATGGACACCAACCACACTATGTCAAAGGGAATTCGAAAAACAACAAAAAACCTCCCAAATCCGACTTTGTCGATTAAAAAATCAATGCAAACCTTAAGAGTATTATTCTTCATCCCGCAAAGGGGAGGCGTAGGTACACCAATGATCAGTTTAAAGAATCGAGCAAAACAACTAGAGGAAGAAGAATGAGACCTTCTGAAAGAAAACATCATCCAAAATGAATATTCACCAACGTTTATCAACAAGAACATCAAACTAAAAGTCTAGAGTTTAGAAACATTGAGTTATGAAGAAAATAAAAGACGAAATCGACGAAATCATCAACAGAGACTGCACAGTAGTATTTATATTTACCGAAAATGTATAGTAGTCTATCATTGAGTAATAGGGGGGTGGTGACGTATTTGACATAACTACTCAGAGGTGGCTTTAGAAGTAAAAATAAAGGTTGCAAATTACGTAGTACTCAACGGCAGAAAGGAAGAAAGGGTTAAAAATTTGAGAATAAGGTAGTTGGGTGTTAATTTAACAAGTGTGAAGAGGATGTGAACATGTACAAAAGGAACATAAGAGAATGATAATAGTGAATCATTATTAAAGCAAAAGCAAACTAAAAGTAAGATTATAAATTACAAAAAAGAAAAGAAAAAATCAAATTTTTTTAATGAGGGAACGATTAGTGAGAAGGTTAAGACCAAGGTAGAATAAGAGACTGGACAAACTTCTTCCGTATACAGAGTTCAGGATTGTATTGATGAATTTCCAGCGCCTCCGCCATACACAAATGCCAAAGCCTGACGCCCTTTGTGCCACTTGGCTTCACTTTGTAGATGATCTTGAAAGACGACTCCGGTGGAGCTATGTGACCTGAGTTCACCAAATGCTCGAGAATTGAGCTAGTAATTGTCTTACACTGTCCCTTTGCTAACCATGCCGGATAATGTTCGGAGATGTGTTTGGAATGCGTGCGCTTTGTGCGGCCAACCTAACTAGCTCCACATGAGCAGGTGAATTTATAAACACACATTGAGGTGGCCAGTCCAAAGCGGCAGTTTATCTTCCACACATCCGTTGATCATTTGTCGGCTGTAGAAATTGATACGTAGCTCAGTTGTAGAGGAAGGCTTTTCTCAGTGATCTGCATAAGCAGCGATTCTTTAGGATCTCAGCTGTGGTATCACCTTTAAATTCAACACTCATAAATAGCAGTTTCTTTGGCACCGTCTGGATTCTTTCAGGCTTTTCCCTTAACTTCATGTTTTTCTCGATAAATCTTGGAGGATATCCAAAGAGATGTCTGAGTCGTTTCAGTTCCTCGTCGATTGTTTCACCGACACATATCTTTCTTATTCTTGAGGATAAGGAACATTACTAGCACCAAAAAAGAAATTTTGATTTCAAGGGAGTCTTTAAGAGAAAAAAATTCTTCAGTCGTCCACTGATCTGCAGAGGCTCAAAAGACAACATCTGGCTCATCTACTCCTGTGAAACCAAGTACATTGGTCGTTCAACGCATGTCCTGTGTGAAAAGCTTCTAGAACAACTGCAGAAATACAACAGTAGCTTTATACAGATTGAGGTAATTGAACAACGCCTTGTCGACACTTGTTATTCTATCTCAACAAACTCATTCCTCAAGGTAGTCGATACAGTGAAGACCAGCCTATCAAAGACAATACCCTTCTTTGTCTCTTGTACGTTACTGAAACTGTAGTTATTCAGATGGAGAAACCAGAGTTCTCTAAGCAAAAAAAATTAACTAACTATTCAATCGCTTGAATTTATCATGAGTAGTGACAACTCATCACTTTTGTTACTCTCCTCTTTTGTGAAAAATTGGGCATATCAATGCGAATCGGAAAAGCAAGACAAGCTTTCATTTCTCTCAAGTCTGTGTGGAGGTCAACAGCACTCAGCAACAAAAATAAGATCCGGATTTTCAAATCCAATGCGAAGTCAGTCAGTGCTACTATACGGATCAGAGACTTGGCGCGTCATAAAGAGCATCTCAAACAAACTACAGACCTTCATTAACAGTTGTCTTCGCTCAATACTCAAGATCAGATGGCCGGCCAGAAAAGATCAGCAACAGAGATCTCTGGCAATGAGCGAACCAACCAGGAACCGATTTTGAAACAAATAGGCAGGAAGAAATGGAGATGGATTGGCTGGCCATACTCTCAGGAAACAAACTATCAAGTGACATCACTAGACAAGTCATTGCTCGAGTGGAACCCGAAAGGGAAGCGGCGAGTTGGTCATCCGAGGGTGACTTGGAGGAGGTCATGTGAAGAGGAGATGAAAACGGAGGGGGGAGACTTGGAACCAGGTGAAGACTCTAGCAGAGAACCGAACACAATGGAGACGCACGGCTGAAGCCCTATGTTCCTCTAGGAATTACCGAAAACAATAATAATAATGCGATTGTGTACGGCTAAAGAGGAAGAACTGCTTCGCTGAACCACTTACTTAAAAAGTATCATAAGAGTGAAATTACAGTGTGAATGTGTTTATCTGCTTAGTAGAGATAATCTAGTTTCACACTTACTCAAACAAAACAAAACAAAACAAAACACAAAGTATATTTGTACAATAAGTTAGGTGAAATCAACAGCTCTTGTTGTTGTTTTTGTTATTCTTAATCACTTTTTGAATGTAAGTAAATAAGCAAATTAGTAATTATTACGCGCACATATATGTGGGTGTAGACCAACTTTAAATATACGTGATAAGACGTCAACAATTTGATTCAAGTACACTCATGAATAAATTATTCTTTTTTCTTCTTCCGTAAAGTATTAATTGCAATTTTGGTCATGGATTGATAACAAGTAGAGAACCACTGTAATCAGCTGTTTCGTCCTAGGCTGGGACTCGTCATCAGTACCCATCCAACTCAATAGTAAATTAGTTCTAGCTCCTACCAGTTCGTGATTTTTGCGCGATTGGCACTAGTCAATGTATTCAACGAGTATTTGTCCTCATTGTACAAAGGGGAGATCCCAAATAGTCAGAAATTCTTACTAGACTCTCAGGAAACCTCTTTCTGCATCCGGTTGCTAGTGGACATCAAATTAATTTTGCGGAGTTTGTTTGAAGGGATTGGATTTATTTTTCAAGTTTGATCCAGGACTGATATCAGTTAAAAAACCAATAAAAACTAGCTGTTAGTACCGGACAATTGTTTCGACCTAGTCTGGGACTCCTCGGTGGCATGAACTTGCCTTGTGACCGGAAAGTTACGGTTTCGAAACCCAGAGGGTGTATACTGCCGATTGGCTCGAAAACTAGAACAGAACAGCTGTCAAATACTCGCTGGTTTTCGGTGGTTCCCTACCTGATATCTACCTGATATTTTTTATTTATTTTTATCTCAATTATCATAACCCGTCTCAACTTTTATCATCTCGCTTTACTGAAGATTAAATGACCAGGCAAAAAAAGGATAAGCTAGAAACAGGGAACACTGGCAGCCAATCAGTCAATAACTTATTACCTAAATTAGAAAAAGGGAGTGAAGTGGTTGGTGGAGCGAGTTGACCACTTCACTTATTTGAGAAGTTGCATCAGCCAACGCCAAAGGGTTGATTGCTGACGAAATCTCGGCACGGATACAGAGGGCTAGTTTCGCATATGCCAGTTTACACCGTCTCTGGCTTAGAAGACGTGATATCCTGCTGGCTATCGACAAATTGACGTGTGTACTGCTCAGCAGTCTGCTCCATCCTCCTTTATGGCTGTGAGACCTGGCCATTGAGAGTGGGAGACATGAAACGCCTAACTGGCTAACCGTGTTTGATTACAGGTGCCTGCGTTCTATTTTTCGTGTGAAGTGGTATAATAGGGTAAGCAATACTAAGGTTAAGCATCGAGTGCTGGGTAGCTGGAAGGAGGAATCAATCGACGAGGTTGTGAAGTTATATCGATTAGGATGGTTAGGACATGTGTTACGTATGCCTGCCTAACCGTCGCCTTCCTCGACAACAGGCAATGCTAGCTGACATAGGATGGACCAGGTTGGAAAAGAGCTAGCCAGTGGTGGTCAAACCAAGACATGGCTTCATTAGTCAATCAAATCCACAACAGTTAGTCTAAGTCACTCAGGTAGACGTAGACTTCCTGGTTGGGGTCCTGGGGACGGTAAAATTCAATGGCTGGAGACAATTGGTGATATGACTCAAAATCGTTCACAATGGCGCAGATGCATCCACTCCTTGTGACTTATAATACCCAATGAAACCATATAGTTCTCCCATATAACTATTGTTATCGTCTCATATCTCTGTTTACTGTCTCTGTTTTTCATGTCTTTTGACTTTCTTCCTTTCCTTTGTGTGCTGAGTGAAGTGTGGAGGCTGGAACTGCTGCACATCGGTGCAAAGTTCTGTGTAAAAACCAATCGGTCAGTCAGTCACTTATTGCCTAATAAATATGCGGAAGGTAATGGAGAAGGATTGAATAAATATTAAAGATTCCACTGAGTGAAATAATACGCCAAACAAGCCGTCAAGTGAAATACGAATAGGTTCGGCACGCAACAGTGACATGGAGATAATATGAAAGGAGGACAGAAATGCTTGTAGGGAGTCTTGAAGCTAGGAAGAAGTGATGGCGTGGAACAGGATAGAATGAAGATGTGCTTCTGAAGCCCTGCTTTTCCACTCGGAATGCAAAGAGTGAATAAAGATACTTTTGTGCTTCCATATTAGATAAATTACTTTGATTCCAAAATTTACAGTCACATAATGTTAATACCTGAATGACGACATTTCGAGCACAATTTATTGCTCATAATCATATCAGTGTATTCACATTATTACCTAACTTGGTTTATCTGAACATATGCCCTCCTGTTTTCCCTAACTGATATCAATCCATGGTCTAGCCTGAAAACAATGGGGTCCATCCAATCTGGAGTAAGGATGGAGTTCCCACCGATGACAATGGTTGGTGCCAGTGGCACTAAAATCACGAATTGGTAGGAGTTAGAATTCATGTTCTGGCCACTGAATCGGGTCCCAGTAGCTGAATGTTATAGGAGCTTGCCTTGTAACTGGAGTGCCCTGGCTTTGAAACCCCAGTGGGGGATGCGTACTGTCGATGAGTCCCAAGCTCGGGTGAAATACCTGTCCAGTACTCCCTGCCTTTTTAATGGTTCTCTAACTGATATCAACCCATTGTCTGACCCGAAACAAATAGAATCGCTACAAAAACCAATTCTTGAATACTACAATTTTATATATAAGATAGATAGATGTTGCGTCGTTCCGATAACAAGTTTTGTTTGTGTTGGTTTGATGAACGAAAACTTTTTCTTTGCCCAACCATACTACTTTTTAATGCTCGTACCCTATTTCACCCGATACTGTGTGTTTACATGCAAGTGAATGAGTGCATAGCAATGGCCGAACTTTTCCTAGTTAATTTTCTCATTAATTATGATTCAACAAGGCTTTTTTTTATCCCATCGTCTTGTTTCTTACACTTTGTAATTTTATTCATTTGATCATTGGCCGGAAAGAAAGAGTTCTGAAACTTTCTCACCCATTTTCCAGAAGTTGATGACTTTGTCGAAAAAAAGATTTTCTTTACTGTAACCGTCGTTCTAATAATTCCCAAGATTATTTAACCTAAAGGTATCAATCATTCTAGACCTAGTGTTATATTCTCAAATTTTAATAACCTAACTAACCCTGATCAAAGATACAAGAATAGAACTTGTGCACTGTGGCGGTAGAGTATAATTCCATTACGGGGTAAAATTTATTTTGATAAAGTCTCACAGTATTATGCAGTAATATTTACTAATGACCACGTTTAGAGCACATAATCATATCAAGATAATCACACAACTTTCTAACTTCCTTTATATAATTCCATCATTATTTTTCATCGCTTGACTTGAAGATTTGAAACTACTTTAATCGTAGACTAGATAAAGGCTACCCAATAACAACTTATAGTAGGATGGAGTGTTGTCTAGTTACTCAACTCAACTATGACCTGTGCCTATTGTGTAGAGATTCACGACACTGTCTGGTTAGCCAAACTTCCATTGATGAAACTGGATTCAAACAGATGAACCGACTTGTTGAGAATCGAATATCAACTTCAAAAAGCTACAGCGTCACAAAGTTATAACATATATAATTCTTATACTTAATACTTTAGACAATCCCATATAACATTAAGCCATCTTTTGTTTCAGTGGATAACTCTTTAACATTTCAAATCATCGTTCCTAGGTTCGAGTCTCACCGGAAATATCATTACTCATTGGGTAACAAGTGTATACACAACCGACGAGTCTAAACTATGGCGAAATGCAGATGCCCAGTTCCTCTTGCTAGCCATTAACAAAGAAGTAACTTTGAGTCCTTCATCTTGGCGATACCGAAATTTTCGCTGAAACAGTCCATATACCTTAACAGGAGATTACAAACACGAGTAGACTTTTAGTTACATTAGAAATTATTCATTATAATAAAAGGTTTTTTGTGTTTCCCAATGAATGAAAAATAAAACGATATTGTTGTTTTGACTGACATTTCGCTATTTAGTACTAATAGCTTTATCAAAGTATTATTAAACCAGAATTTACTAAATCTCAGCTTATATATTACAACTTAATCATCATCCCTCAACATAGAGTCATTTTTCGTTGTCAAATAGGCCAATTGGTAAAGATAACAGAACCAGGTTTAGATTGGTGGGTTTGATAAGTGTGTAAAATTATAAAAGCAGTGTGTGTTTACATAATGAAATTGATTATCATATTCGCCTTGATCTTTTTACATCATGGGGAGGGGGGTGTTGTAACCAGGTCAGATTCTGTTTTATTTCATTATTCCTATTCAGACAATTTCAATTCCACTTAATATGAAGTGCTTCTGATGAAACGAGACGTTCTGTGTGATTTCTGAAATGCTTTTTCTGGATGATGATTTCAATATTGTCAAAATCAATTTTGTGGCCTGATTCTATAGCGCGTAGTGTGTAGACGACCTATGGCTGGTTGATGATTTTTCAAGCTTTTCTAGTTCAACTGGACTTCTCGGTGGTCAAACTGATTTTGAAAATTCTGGTTTAATATCACTACTTTGATAAAGATATTCGCAGCAGCATTAAATAGCAAAACGTCAGTAAACACAACAATATCGATTTGTTTTTCATTCATTCATTGGGAAATACAAAACACCTTTATTATGATTAATATCATATACCCAACCTCCAGATTTTTTCAAATTGTTAAAAGTGAACTTGGTTTGGACATATTTAATATTGGAAATTAGTTGGAGGATTTCATCATGAGGTGACATTGGTTAGAAAACCATTGGAAGATCACCTGAGAGCACTGCCAGACAGCTGTTTCGTCAGTCTAGTTTGGAACCCTTCAGCACTACGCACCCACCACGGTTGGAATGTAGTAACGTTGTAGCATGAAGGTCCTGGTTTCGAATCCTGGTAGTGGGTATGGATGAAGAGTCCCAAACTAGGCATACGAAACAGATCTCTGGCAGTACTCCCGAGTGGCTTTTCCAATGGTTCTCTAACTGATGTCAGCTCATGATGAAATCCTCCAACCAATCAAACAAAATCCCTACAGAAACTAATACTTGAACAGTAGAAACTAATCAGCATAAGAATATAAAATAAAACAAGTTAATTAATTTGAAAAACATACCATTTGTATCAATGTTAGATAACGTTTCCACCATAAATATTTTCTCCAATTAGGTCCAAGTGCTGCCAATGCATAATAACTATACATAATCACATGAACCGAGCTATTCACAGCAACTGGTTGAAATAATTCCCCGCCGGCTACCCACTTGACACCAGCCCATGTTAATGGAATCATTGTACAATGATGATAAACATGTAACCATGTAACAAGATGTGTCCGTCCACGAATGATAAAAAAGAAAGTATCTAAACACTCAACCACTTTAGATACATGAAATAACCAGATAGCACGAACAAGCTGTTAAAAAAGAGAAAGAAAGAAAGGCAAAACAAGGTAGAACACGGTAGAATGAGTATGATATTTAAACCAGCTAGCGGTAGTAATGGAGAGAATACAATAAATCATATTCATTGTTAGTTATTCAAGTATTGGTTTGCAGGGATTTCATTGATTAGTTACAGGATTTCGTCATGAGTTGACATCGGTTAGAGAACCATTAGACCATCTGGTGCAAACCGGTCACAAAGCCAGCCAGCGTTGAAGAATCCTTCTCTATAATATACCGGGTGCCTAACAAACTACCGAAATCGTCGAAGCACCGCATACTCCAAACAGCAGAGGCTATTGCAATTCGCCTCAAACAACCAGTGCTCTGTGTTCAAAAGAAACAAGTCCAGCTAGCCCCTACTACTGCCCTGGCCCTCAGTAGAGACTATAAACTCATGAATTTGTACTATTATCTTTCATTATTCTTCTGACATTGAGCTTATTTTGTGTTGATGCTGTTCAGCTGTAATTTATCAATATTATTGATTTGATGTTATTTAAACAACATTAATGTCGTTCATAAGACTAATTCATTCATTCATTCACTATAATGTATATATAATTGTAGAGCCTGATGATGAATTTATCGAAAAGAGTACTCTTTGTTCAGTGTCTAACCATTAGAAAACCTGGGAGTACAGCTGTTCAGTACTTCCTGGTTACTTGAATACTTGACTATCAGTGAGATGCTCACTAGCGACTGGCTCCATTCAGGTAGGTAGTCACTCGAGATTCTAGTGGGATGTCGTGACCAGCAGGGTGCAGTATGTCGAGTGTGAAGACAAATACTCGCCGAAGACATTGGCTAGCGGTCGCGCTATATCGTGAATTGGCAGAAGTTGGAATTCATGGGCTGGCCATCGGTGGCACAGTGGTTAGGACTCTCGCCGACCATGCACATGGTCCGGGGTTCGATCCCCTGCCGGCGCACACCCGATATCTATGGTCGGCCTGAATTTGGGCTACCGATATCCATGCTGAAAATTCCACACTTCTACTGAAAATACGGTGTGGAATCAAGCTGTAAATCAAAAAATAAATAAATAAATAAAAATAGATTGGTGGGTCTCAGTGGCTCAACGGTTTACGAGCTCGCTAGCCCTGTGACCAGAAGTTCCCGGGTTCGAATCCCGGTGGGCACGTCCCAAATTAGGGAGGGAACAGCTGCCTGGCAGTACCCTCAGCTGGTTTTCCAATGGTTTCAGCTCATGATGAAATCCTGTAACCAATCATATACTTTGTCTTAGGTTAGGCCGCATTTCCTGTTGGTGAATTATGTTAAATTGGTGTTTGTACTCATGTCGGAAGCTTCGACGATATCTTGGGAATAACAAGAATTTTTTTTGGTTGGCGTAATGACTAGCAGTGGAATTCGGGATGCACATTTCCTCCTTTCTGAGGCCTAAACTGGGAGTAGACAACTGTTCAGTGCTCCATGGTTTTCGCTGATCTCTAACTGATGTTGGTTCGTGATGAAATCGACAATGAAATTATCAACTTGTGTCAGTTTTATCCATTACATTTGATAGTTATCAGTGCTGTTATCCTCTTTTTGCATTGACTTTCTTTCTTCTGATCTATCTTGGTCTTCCCCCATCTTAGCAGTTTCTACAAAAAAATATTCCGTCTCACATTATTATTAAGTGATGTATACTCATGAGCTGCTGCTGGATTCAACATAGAACTTGGCACCGAAGTGCAGCACTTCGAGTTGCCACGTTCCAAATAGCACACAAAGATAGACAAGAAAATGAGTGAAGAGAATCAATAGAGTTTTGACAAGTAGAAGAGTGAAACAGAATGAGTAATGGTAGAAAGGAATATGAAAGATTACACAAGAGACTGAATACATCTGCGTAAGCCATTGACATCGATTTTGAGCCATGTCACCTATTGCCTCCAGCCATTGATTCTTAGAGTCCCGAGGGTGGGCCCCAACCCGGAAGTCTGCATCTCCCTACCTGACTGACTCAGTTTAACTGTCAGGGATTTCATGGATTGATGAGGCCATGTTTTTGTTTGGCCACCACTTACTCTTTTCCTACCTGCACCTATATCAGCTAGTAATGCCCGTCAGGGGGGGCGATGGTTAGGCATGCGCAGCACGTGACCTAACCATCTCAATCTATGTAACTTTATAGCCTCTTCGATTGATTTTCCCTCTTTGCCCAACACTCTACGCCTAACGTCAACATTACTTACTTTATTATACCACCTAACGCAAGAAAGAGATCGTAAACATCTGTGGTCAAAAGCAGACAATCTCTTCATGTCTTCCGCCCTCAATGGCCACGTCTCACCGCCATAGAGAAGGACGGAGCGAACTTCTGAGCAGTACACACGTCCATTGGTTGATAGCCGGGTGACACACCTACGCCAGAGACGGCGTAAGTTAGCGAAAGCAGCCCGAGCTTTCTGGATCCGTGCTGAGATTTCGTCACCAATCAATCCGTTGGTGCTGATACAACTTCCCAAATAGGTGAAGTGGTTAACATGTTCTATCAATTCACTCCCTATCACTAAGCTAGGAGTTGACGTAGTCCAGTGCTGTAGCAGCATTTTACATTTTACAGGGGCGAATCGCATGCCAAACATACGAAGATTGCTACTCAAGGTGTTCAGAAGACTCTGCATTTTGTCAGCGTCCTCCCCTATTAGGACTATGTCGTCTGCGTATTCTAAGTCCGTAAGACTATTCCCTGGTAACAAGTCAATTCCTAAGTCGTTAAGTTCAGTTAAGGATACTTCCATTAGCATATCTATGATGAAGTTAAACAGGAATGGGGGAAGTGGACATCCCTGACGGACACCACTGGTTGTTATCAATTCAGGTGACAATTCCCCATAAGCCCTTACATGGCTACGTGAGTTTGAGTAGAGTAAGACTATGTGCGTCAGGTTGATTGCTCTATGATTATCACATGAGGACTTGTCTCTCTTCTTGAATATTGGTATAATAAGTGACTTACCCCAATCTGATGGAACCGTCTCTGATTCCCAGACGTTACCTAGTACCTTAGTTAAACTATATACTAGTGTGTCAACCCCATATTTAAACACCTCCGGAATAATTCCGTCGGGTCCTGCCGCTTTGCCTCGTTTCAGATTACAGATAGCTTTTGTGACCTCACTTACGGACGGTGGGCCAGTGTCTATATCCCATTCGGGTGTATGCTGGACGGTGGGGAGGCTCAGTGTGGCTGTAGGCACGTTAAATTGTTCCTCAAAGTGTTCTTTCCAGCGTTCAAGGAGTCTATCCTGAGAGCTAATTAAGGAGCCATTTTTCTCAGAAATAGTCTCACTTATGATTTGCCTTCTCCCACCTGTTTCCCTGATGAGTCTAAGGAGTTGCCTAGTGTTGCCTATCGCAGTTGCTTTTTCCATCTCTTTCGCCTTTGTCACCCACCACTGTTCACGGTCCTTGCGGAGACTTTTCGTAAGTTTCCGTTTGTGCAGCTTTCGCTCCTCATTGAATTCGGAGCTCGCCGGAATAAGTCTTCTAGCATCTATCAGTTCGGATGAGGCAATCGAAATCCAATGGTTTTTAGTCACCTTTGGATTTACCTTATTCACAGCTTTTACGGCTGTATCTATGGCTGACTGAATATTCTTCCAGACTCATGAGAGGAAACTATTGATTGTTTTAACTCCTGACTGAGTGATAATCAAGATGACTAAAAAACTATCAAATTTCACTCCTCGTTTGTATGTAATTTCATGGAAAGCAGTCGGACTACAAATCATTTCTCTTTTAATATACAGTCGATTTGAACTAAGAGGAAAGGTGATTAGATAGTCAGTTATTTTGTTACAGCCAGGACCTTCCTGTTACAAGGCAAGCTCTCAGACCATTCAACCACTAGGACACCATCCAATGGCCCGCCAATAGTCGTGACCAGTGAGGTGCATCTAGTCGGGAGTAATGATGGATTTCCCACCGATGACATTGGGTGGTGCCAGTCGCGCTAAAAATCACGAATTGTTAAGAGTTAGAATTCGTGGGCTGACCATTGAATCGGGTCCCAGTGGCTGTATGGTATACGAGCTCGCTAGCCTTGTAACCAGACGACGGTCCTGGGTTCTAATCCTGGCAGTGGGTGCGTACTGATGAAGAGAACCAAACTAAGCTGGTGAAACAACTGTTCAGTACTTCCTGCTCGTGGTTTTCAATGGTTCTCTAACTGATATCAATCCGTGGTCGAATTCGAAAAAGATTAATTGACAATGGATCGTGTGACACAGTTTGTATCTGAACTGAAACGCCGCAACCAGTCCATTGTGATGTTTTCAACAAATACACGATTTTTTTTTTGATTGTCGATTATAAAAAGTTCAGGAGTACATTTTGCGAACCAAGGACACCAGTTGGGAACAGCCATCTCATGTATTGGGATAAGCTGCCGCCATCCATCGAGGATAATGCTTTTCCACCTCATGTTTAGTAGAAACTTGTGAATCAACAGGTTGTAAATATTTTAAATACTCACCGGAGTAAACAATACTATCACAGATCATACTTTAATGGATTTAAACAAACTGAATATATGCGAAATTATATGCAGACTGTATTGATGGGGCTTTTCGGTAACCTAAGTTTAAAGCAGGCTGCCTCGAAAAGATTCGGATGGGTTTAGAGAAAGATGAGATTTTGGGTCTGGTAAGGGAGGGATATATTAGGGATTGTTAGAGTTGAGTAGCAGACCCCGGCTTGCCTTTCGAAATGGATAGCTCATTTCAAGATCACTGTTGCCATTCTTTTAGCTTGTCGACTATCGAATTTCTTAGGTCCATTATGTGCTCTGTGTGTAGGTGGCACAGCGGTAGAATGCTCACCAACCACGCGGGTGGTTCGGGGTTCGATCCCCGGCCACCGAGGCACTCCTTCACCTCGCTAAGCCAGCAATAACACCTGTAAAGGGGAAAGGTTGGCCATGAGGCTAGCAACCCTATCCCATAAAAACAAGCACCGC